GATAATAGCAAGTGTTGGTGGGATGTAGAGAAATCGAAACTGTCACACAGTGCTCGTGGGAATGCACAATGTTGCCCGGGCTTTGGAAAACAGTTTGGGAGTTTTCCAAGATGCTAAACAAAGAGATAACCACCTGACTATACAAATACACGTGTAGGTGCGTCCCCAAGAGAGATGAAAATGTAAACTCACGCAAAACCCTGCTTGTGGATGTTCACAGAAGCATTGTTCGTAATGTCACAAGGCAGGGTGACCTGAATGTTTGTTCACTGATAAATGGACAATGTGGTCTATTTATGCAACGGGATCCTATTAGGCCATTTCAAGGAGTGTAATCATGATAAGCACTACAACATTTATGAATCATGAAAGCTACAGTGTTAAGTGAGATCAGCCGGTCACAGAAGGGCCACACGTTGTATGATTCCGTCGATGTGAAATATCTGGAATAGTCAAATCCACAGAAACAGAAAGTAGATTTGTGGTTGCCTACGGTTGGGGGTGGGTGGCGGGGAATGGGGAGTAACTGCTAATGGGTACGGGGGGTTCCTTTTGGGGTGAAATGTTCTAAAGCTGGACAGTAGTGAAGGTTTTACAACTCTGATATACTAAAACCCACTGAATTGTACACTTTAAACGGGTGAGCTATATGGTACGTAAATTATACCCCCAAAATGGTGTAGGACAGAAGAGCCTGACCTGCCGCTTGGGGACTCCTTAGGCAAGTCTTGGTCACCTCTTGATGTTCAGTCTTCTCTGTAAAACGGGGCAGGAAGATTTGCTTTCCTTTGTTCCTGTGGGGACCAGATGAGGTGACAATTGGAAACAGTTTCTCATTTTAAAGTTTCATTTTAAGATTTCATTTTGTATTTACATTTATTGAGAAAGGAAATGTATGCACATGGTACAAAATTCAAATGGGGACACAGTGAAAAGTCAGTCTCGTTTTCTGGGGTGATGGAAATGTTCAATATCTCAGTAGGGGTGGTGATTACACAGATGTGTACATTTGCCAAAACTCATAGAGCTGAACCCTTAAGAACTGTGAATTTCACTATCTGACAATAAATAACACATTAAAAAATATTTTAAAGTAAACCTCTTCCCTCTCTCCGCTCTATGTCTCCCAGCCCCCCTCCCCCTTCCAATTTCCCTATAGGAGGGAGGCACGGTTGTTGTTTCTAGTTCGGTTTGGTCTTTGCACGCACGCACAAAGAAAATATTTTGTTATATCCCTTTTGCACACAATGTAAAAAAAGAAAAAAAAGTACTACATACACCGATCTGCCCCTTGTTTTTTTCCCCCTACAAATATACCCAGAGATGAAATCAAACAGCGGTGGGCGGGGAGGGGGGTTAAAAAGCTGCACAGGCATCCGAATAGATGTGCTGGGATGCGGCTAAGTGCCTCTGCGGTCAGTGGGCGTTTCGGATCTTTCCGATCCGCTGCTATTACGAAGAGTGCTTCGGTGAATAACCTTGTGCACAGAATTATATCATTTTTCACAATTGTGAGCAGTATCTGGAGGACAGATTCCTAGAAGTAAATGCTGGGCCAGAGGGTATGTGTATTTGGAATTTTGACATTGTTTCAGAGGTTCCAAGAATGTCTGCTTCCCCACATTATTGCAGCAGGGTGAGTTATTAAGCTTTTTATTCTGCCCATGTGATGAGTGAAAAATCTCTCAAAGTAGTTTTAATTTGCATTTCTGCTGTTAAGTGTGAGACTGGGCCCTTTTTGGTACATTAAAGCATTCTTTCCATTTCCTTTTCTATTCATAACCTCTGACCAGTTTTTCTCCTCTTGGGTATTTTTCTTATTGATTTGTAAGAGCTCTTTATATATGGGGACATTGGCTCTTTGCTTGGGATATAAGTTAGCCATATTGTTTCTTTCATAGGTTCTATGGATGTTCGTTGTTACCGTGAAACTCTGGGCACAGGAAGAGATTGTCACTATTTTTCTCTGAGTACCATTTTTCAGGATAGGTGTGGGGAGGGTTCTGGTCCCCATGAATCCCAGACACTTGTGTCCCTGCCCCACGTCCAAGCACACCCTCTGGTGACTGATTGACCCCCTGGATCAGTTACTTGCAGCCAGGCCATCCTTAGAGGAGAGAAGACTCGACCACAGGGGTGCAGAGACCTGTAGCCAGTCCTCTTTTATTCTGAAAACATGCTTGGTCACCCCCTCTGTGCTGGTCCAGTGTGTGGCACGGGGACTCATAGGTGAGTCAGACTCTCCTGCTCCCCTGAGCTAGCTCACAGTCCGGTGGAAGATTCAGTGTGGCGAGTCCTTGGCTAGGGAATCCCAGGGCAACCAGGGGCACAGACACAGATGGAAGGTGGCAGCCCCAGAGCTCCAGGGCCCTCCTTGCTCAGCTTGCCTCTCCCTAAAGAGCTTGGCGGGGGGCGGGGCGGTGTCCTCAGAGGGCGGTGGGTTGGTTTTAATAACAGCAAGAATCTTGCTGCCCCAGTTCCTGTTGAGTCGTGGTCTCCCTGGCAAATGGGAGCTGTGAATGGTGCTCACTTGAAGGGTGGCTGTGGGGGGCCCAACTGAATGGAGGCAAGCAGGAAGCACGTGCCTGACACGTGGGGCTGAATTTTACAATTCCACGTGGGTGTGCCAGCCTGTGTGAGGGCAAGGTGTTTGGCCTGGGGGGGCACGGAGCAGGACGCCCCTACAAGCGGCTACAGCAGCAGCAGGTGAAAGCCGGGCTGTGAGGGTGGGAGGGGGTGCCAGGGTGTTCCCCATCCGGCTGTCCTCCTAGCTCGCAGGGTGAGGTCAGGGCTGTGTGTGTCTACAACAGAGGCTGTGTGGGGACTTTCAGGAGGAGAGGGGTGTCTGAGAGAGGAGACAGAGATCCTGCCTCACAGCAGACACCCGGAGGGAGGGCAGGCTCCAGCTTTATTTAGCCCAGAGAAAGACTCCCTCCAACCTCCTCCCCTGGGTCTGCCCTGGGGTCCCCCCTTCCCACCTTGAGGGGTGTCTGGGCTTTTGGGGGGCAGCAGCCCAACTCTGCCCTCCCTGAGAAAACAAGGGCATATTTCAACGTCTCAAGGAGCTGGAGGGGCAGTCAGGGGATGAAGCCCAGGAAAGGCCTGAATGTCCGGCAGGAGAGCCCCCCTCAGGCAGGAGCTCGGCTCCTGGGGAACCAGGTCAGGGACTTTCAAGGCCCTGGCGGCGCTGGGGAGAGAGGACAGGGGAAAAGGGGCTGCTTGCTGACCTAGGCTACAAAGCGGCAGTGCACCTCCATTAGGGACCTAGGGGAGAGAGACCCCGAGGCCTGCCTCTGTCCCCACCTCCCGTTCCCAGGAGGTCTGAGGGCCCCTGCGCCTGGACTCAAGGACAGCACAGCCCCAGACAGCGGCTCCGTCCTTGACCATCATCCTCTGGTCCAAGAATCCAGGGGAAAGCTGGTGGCATCCCCCCCACCCCCACGCCGCACTGTCCCCCTTTCGGGTATCGCCTGCAGGAACCTCGAATTTGGCAGAGGCCGCGGGGTGGGATGGGAGGAGCATGGAGGGTGGGCGCCCGGCACCGCAGGCTGGATGGAGTTTATGGGCTGCGGAAAGGCGGCTGGACTGGACCCGGACCGGAGCCCCGCGCCCATCCTCGGCCGGGACAGCCTTCGGCCCGGCTGCTCGAAGCCTCACGCGCCACTCCCACCCGGCCTCTGGCCTCCTCCGTGAGGGAAGGGCACCCTCGGGGAAAACCCCCTCGCCCTCCAACAGCCCCCTCCCCTCTGCCGCGCGCGCTCTCGCAGGCGCGCAGCCCGGCCCGGTAGCCTCTGCCTCCCTTCGCCCGCCCGGGCAGGACCGCGCCGCAGGTGCGCAGCGCAGGGGCGGGGTCCGGGGGTCGCGCCCCGCGCCCGCCGGGTACCCACTCGGCAGCTCCAACGCGGCAGCTCGGGAAGCGGCGCGCAGGCCGTGCCGGGCGGGGGCGCTCTTGAGCCTGGTTTGGAATTTTTACCCAGGGCGCAAGCCGCAAGCTGGGGCAGGGGCGGTGGGCAGTGGCAGCCGCGGCGGGCGGTGTGGCCGCTGGGTGAGGGCTCGGGGCGTCTAGGGGGCTGCGGACTTAGAACCCAGTTTAGAGGCCAGCCGAGTGATTTCGGACCCCCGGGTATTCCGGAGGCGAATGAAGGGGAAGGGGGATCGGCGGGAGGGAAGTCCGCCCAACGGAACCTTCCGGGAATCGGAAGCGGCCTGGCTGATCCCGCGCCCCACCTTCTCCCCAGCCGAAGGTGGGGGCGAGCAATGGCAGGGGTGGGGGTGGAGGTCAACGATCTGGGGGAGGCAAGTCCTTGAGGCCCCGACCGCCTGCCTTCTCGCCCCCCCCCCACGTGCCTAGCCCTCCCCGTCCCCGGATACGCGCGCCCCTGCGGGCTGTGCATTTGCACTCGCGGACGCGCGCGCCCACACAGGGTCCGACTTCAGGTCAACTTTCACGCGGCTCCCGGGTGTGTGTGCACACGGCCGTGTCCGCACGCGCGTGCACACCTCCGTCCCCGGTGCCCACCTCCCGTCGCCTCCCAAAGTCTCGACTGCTAGACCTCGGGGGCTTCTGCTCCAAGTGGGGGCCTGGGGCGGGCCAGGAGGAGGGGGAGAGGCAGCCTCTGGGCTCCCCACGCCGCCCTCACGCCGTGATCCACCTTCCCCTCCCGAGCCCCCTCGGGACACCCCCAGTCCACCGACGTGCGGGAGCCACACCGCCGCCCGCCCTCCGGCCGCCCCCGCCCGCGGCCCCCGCCCCTCCTGCAGCCCTCCCCACTCCGGCTCCTACAGGAAACCTTCGATCACGCTCAGAAAGAATGTGCTACAATCTCGGCGCTGCCGCGGCCGCCCAGACCGCGCCCGCGCCCGAGCCCGAGCCGGAGCCGGAGCCGGAGCCGGAGCCGCCGCTGCCCCGCCTGCCCGGCCGGCCCCGGGCTCGCAGCGCGCGGTCCCCGCCGCCGCCCCGCGCTCGCCCCGCGCTTGACGCAGTGAGCGCCGCAGCCCGGCTCCCGCCGGCTCCGCTCCGCTCCCGGTCGCAGGCCGAGCCCAGCCCGGCGGGCTCCGGGAGGGGCGGGCAGGGCGCGAGGGGGAGGAGATCTGTCTGGAGCCAGCGAGCCCGGCGGAGGAAGAGGAGGAGGAAGGAGGGGAAGCCGCCGCCGCCGCCGCCGCCGCGCTCCGGGGACCTGGGAGCGCGCGCTCCGCTCGCCGGAGACGGGGGCGCCCCCCGGCCCGCACCCGGGCCCAGGTAGGAGGGGGACGGTGGGGGGAGGGGCTGCGCGGGGCTGCGGGGGCGAGGGTCCCCTCTGCCGCAGCCGCGGGGCTGGTGGGTCCCCGCCCCTGGGGGAGGCGGGGAAGATGCTCTCCAGGGCGGCAGTGGGGGCGGGCGCGTGGCCCCCGGCGGCTCTTGCGGCCCGGGCCACCCAGCCCCTGCGCCCTGTCCTGGGCGTCCGCGCCGGGGCCGAGTCCCCCCCGCCCGTGTGGCTTCGGTTGCGGCGCCTTGGGTCCGCGGTTTAGGGGCAGCCCCCCCACACACACCCTGGGTTCCGAGGCGGGCGCACCCGAAGTTAGCGGTCGCCGAGCGCCGGCCGGACAAACTTCCCTCCCCGACGCCGCGGCCCGAAGGCCCGGGACTCCGGACCCCTCGGGCCAGGAGGCGCCTCGGGGACCCCGAAACTTTCCTGAGCGCTGTGAGAGCGAAGGGCGGGCTGGGCAGGGAGGGGGGACGGGGTGGTCTTGCCTGCGAGTGCGTGGTGGTAGCCGCGGCGCCCCAAGTTGGCCCCGGGACTGCCCCCCCAGCCTGGAACCCCATCTCTTAGTGGAGGGCGGGCAGGGAGCGGACTAAAGGCGCCTAGCCTTCGCGCAGCCAGGATGGGGGAAGCAGCACTCCGCCCCGCGCCTCTGGAGCCCTTGGAGGGGGTGTTGCAGGACAGCCCCCCCTCCGTTCTCCGGGCTCTGCCCGCAGCTGCCCAGCCCGCGGGGAGGACCCGGTTCGCTGCTATTAATAGGCGCCTGTGACCCGAACCTTTCCAGGCCCGGGAAGCTGCGAAGCTGGGCTTGGCTGCGGGGTGGGGCGGGACCCCAGGCCCAGAACTGGCTCCCTTCCCGGCTCTTATCGTCTCTATCCTGTCGCTCTTCCCTCCACGCCCCCCCTCCCCGCTCTCTTCCCAGTCTTTCCATCCCGGTCTCGGGTGTCGACCCCCCAACTTTTTCTCTTCCTAAACTGCACGGTGTGGCCTGTGGCCGCCCCGTCAGTCGGGGGCCGGGCCAGATTGGCGCGATCGGAGCACAGTCCCCAACAGAGACCTCCTCAGCTGGCTGGGTGTGGGGTTCCTGGGGCCAGACTGCCAGGGATGAGTGGGGACTTCCTCCCATCAGCGCCTCTTCTCCCAACCTACACAGCGGCGCGCGATACCTTCGCACCCCACCCCCCGCAGGCTGGTCGTTGCCCCATTTAAGGGGCAGTGGGGAGTGGGGTGGTCGCCGCGGGCAGCCTTGGGGAGGTGTGGAGGGCAGAGGGGACTCGCGAAGCTCCGGAGAGGGTTTTGTGCAGGCAGGAGGCAATGCCCTGGTGGCCTCCCTTCCAGCGTCGCCTCCGCACACCCCCGAAGGCCCAGGAGGATTCCGCCTCCTCCCCCCACCCCATCCCAACACTCAGATCTGAGCTTGAGTGGATTTGAGGATTTGGGGGGCGGGGAATATGGAATACTTCTTCCCGTCTGCTCATCTGCAGAGCCCAGCTCCCAAGCAGCTTGGGGGTCTTTGTCCCCCAGGGCTGGCCGCCGGCCCCGCCCCCTCCGTTAACTCGGGGACCCCAACGCCTTCCAGCGCTCGCTTGCCGCGCTCGGCAATCTCAGAGCTTTGGTGAGCGAGGTGTCGCATCCTTTCCTCTGCTCTGGGTCTGGGGGTGGGGTAGGGGGCGTGGATCGCGGTCCTGGGTCCCTAACAGATGTCCTCGCGGCTGCGCCGGCGTCTCTGTAACAGATTTAATGACTTACACGCAGACCGCCAATCGGCGCGGCCACGGGGGAGGGGCGACCCAGCTGAGACTCAAGGGACGAGGTCGCAGCCTGAGGGCGCAGCCTCTGCTCGGGGTGGGGGGCGCAGAGGCAAGGACCCCGACGCCGGCCGTTCAGCCCCGCCTCTCATCCTCTGCGCCCCCAACTTTGGGCTTTGCTCTCTGCGCCTGCCCACGGATCCTCCGGTTGTGGGGACCTTCCCGCGAGGAATTCAGTCCCGCCTCCTTCCCAGCCCCCCATTGACCTCTGAGTCCCTCCTTGGAGCCCCGACCCTAGGCGCACACATACTTGCCTCGGGGTCGGCCAGTGTGGGTCAAGGGCGTGTTGAGGCCTCTGGCCTCTGCTTGCACGCCTCAGAAATGGGCTCATAGCCCTTGCTACAGGGGAGTAGTGAGAAGGTCGCGACATAAATTTGGGCAGGCGCCTAGCACAGTCCCTGGCACACTGGAGACGTGCATCAAAAGCCTACCGGATCCTTCCAGAGTCTGGGGGAATCAATCAGAAAGGGAGGGGGTCGGTCACCACTGGCAGGGGTTTGCCTAAGAAAGGCTGCACGGGGATCTCGGATCACTGCTGTGCATTTTCTTTGCAGAGTGAGGCCAGAGGCTGGAAGGTTGCTTTCTGGAACCTACTAAGGTGACCAGGGTTGCCTCTGGGGGAGGACCAGTTTGGCCCCCATTCCAAGCTGCAGCTGGAAAGGCCTCGTGAACGGCAGGGAGGAGAGGGGAGACTTGTCACCACCCTCTCGGTGCCCTGTGCCCAGGCCTGGCATATCTTGAGGCTTGCAGTACCTATTTGATGATAAGCAGGGGCCTGCCCTTGGCCTGCACCTGCTGGGACCAGGGGTGTGAGTAGGGGGCAGCCCAAGGAGAAAGGCTACATACAGCTCAGATGCCCTAAATGGCCCAACAGCCTTTTCCCCCATGCCTCAGTCCTGATCCTGGAGCCATATGTGACTGGGCCACATTCCCCCCCTCCCCCGTTCTTGTAAATAATCATGGGGGCACACCGGCTTTTGTCCTAGCACCCCCTTTATGCATCCACCCTCAATGGAGCTCCAACAGACAGGTAGGAGGGGGCCATAAAGCACTAAATCCCTAAATTCTGGCCTGGCAAGGGGTGGGCAGCTCAGAACCCACTCCCCCCTTCCTGGTCAGCCTTCTGTGCCCAGGCAGGGCTGGGGGGTGGGGCTTGCCAGTCCATATAGGACTTGCTTGTGCTATGGACGTTCATTCACATTCTCTCTCCGGTCCCCACACACTATAGGATTTATCTTGATTTGCTGCCTTTGAATTGAGTCAACTCTTTTGTATGCTCGGTGAATTGCCCAGCTGCTGGCGGGGAGCGGAGAGCGTGCCGGGGGTACTGAGGCCGGGAATCATAGGCGGGCGGGGGACAGGAAGCGGGGAGGGGGCGCGGGCGCGGGCGGGGACACAAGCAAGGGGGCCCTGAGCTGGGAACCCGGCTGGCCGAGGGGCATGCCCAGGCCTGCCCGGCTCCAGCGAGGAGTCCGGAGGGGTCGGGAGGCTCCGTCGTGGGGGTCGAGGCTGCCCCTCGGCCTCTGCTTTGGATGGGCTGTGTGACGTGGGGCAAACGTCAAGGCCTCTCTTGACTCAGTTTCCTCGCCTGTAATATGCGGGAAGAGGGGCTTCCGCACGCAGGTTGTGAGGGTCAAACTAAGCGGGAAGAGTGTGCGAGAACCCTCGGAATCATCCCAGAGGTGGGGGTGAGTGAGGGAAGGAAGGGGAGCCAGGGCTGGGAAGAGGGGGCGACTCTGCCTGTCCCCCCCCCCCCGCGCTCTCTGCCCCCAGATCCTCCTCTTCTCCAACGAGGGCCGGACCGACGGGCCCACTCGGGCCTGCGAACGCCCTGGCTTGGCTTCATGTGGCGGGGGTCGCGGGTGGCTCAGGCCATCACAGCTGTCGCGCGCTGCCCCCCGCCCCCACCTGAATGTGGGAGGAAGGGCAGGAGGGGACCGCGAGGAAACCAGCCCTCCTGTGCTTTCTAGTACCCCTCCGCCCTGCCCCCTCCCCCCGCCCCCATCCCCCGCCCGGCGGCCGGGAGGGAGGCGAGCGGGGCGGGCGCGGGCTCGGAGCCGGACTCGCGCCGGGAGCGGGCGGGCGGACGCGGGAGGGGCGGGGGGAGGCGCGGGGCGGGGCGGGGCCGCGCGCGGATCGATGGGCGAAGCTGGGGAGGAATCTCAATCCCCGGAGCGAAGTTAGAGCCTGGAGGACGGCGGCGGCGGGCGCAGCCCGGGAGCGCGGCCCGGCGGCAGGTAAGCGCGGCGCCCGGGGGCCGAGGCCGAGCGCGGCGGGCGCCCGGCCTGGGGGCGCGGGACCCCGCCAGACCCCGCGCGCTCCCCCTGCGCCCCCAGCCCCGTGCGCCCTCGGAGCGCGGCGGGCAAAGTTGGAGGAACTTGGAGCGCGCGCGCGGCTCAGCCGGCGGAGCGGGGGTCCGGGCTGGGGTCCCGCTGCCGCCCCCGGTCGCTGCTGCCCGTCGCACCACTGCTTGCTCGGGTGGCCTTGTCCCTTCCCCGTCCTCTCTCCCCTCGGCGGCCCCCTTCGCCGTCCGCGCCGGGTCCTGCGCCCCAGAGCTGCTGCTGTTCCCTGTGGCCGACCCTCCGCGGCCTTGGGTCCGCGACCCCTGTCGGTGTCCGCGGCACCCCCCCCCCGGCGTCGCGCTCCTCCCCACCCGGCGCCCGGACGGGTCCGGCCGCACTCGGGGGAGGGGCCGCATTCCGAGGTCGCTGCCCGGGAGTTGAAGCCCTGGCGTGGGGGTGGGGGCCTTTGCCTCTGAACTTGGTGGATACTCTCCACCCCTCCCCCGACCTTGGACCCATTCTCATCGTCATGGCTTTTGGGAGGTGCTGCTGGGCTCCCTCGCCCCAATCTGCCTCTAAAGACAGGAGTCCGCTTTCGATCCTTTAAAATCTTCGAATCACCTGCTTGCAGCCCAGGGTGGGGTCCCTTTCAGGTGTTCCCCCTCGACACAGACCCCGAGGGCCTCTGGCATCAAAATCAGAATCTTCCAAGCATCAGCTGCATGACTTTGGGGCGGGTTACCTCCCAGAGCCTCACTTTTCACGTCTGTAAAATGGGGGTATGATGATAATGTGTACTTTATGGAGGAAACACCACCGTGAAGGCTTAGCACTGGGAGGGCCCCGGAGGCCTCTCCTCCAGGCTTGGGAGACCAAGCCAGGTTTGCACTGCCCAGCAAAGCCTCAGGT